TGTAGTGTAAATACCTGGAAGCAGAATTACTGGGCCAAATACTATATGCCCTTGTGATTTTCATAGACACGGCCATATCCTTCTTGGCAATGATGCCATCCCTCCAGCAATATATAAGGTTGTTTCTCTACGTCGTTTCCAGCATAGTGTGTCATCACACTTTTTGATCTTTAACAATTTGATGGGTTAAATAAGTAAACAAATAACCCTTTCACCTTGTGCTCTAACTGAAAGCTTGATCCCTGATGACCCTTCTTGAGAGAATACCTCTTTTCTTCCTTGGGGCCTTTCCATCACTGATGATGTGGTAGGTGACCTTCTAGCTTCTCATGGCTGCAGACAAATCATCCTCAAAGTCCTCTGTATCAGAGTCTCATGTAACAAGACTTTCCCACCTACCACCCATTATGGTTAAAGTTCAGTGTGGAAAATCTACAAGGGCTCTCTTGAACGTCATTGGTGAGACTGTCCACCATCAGAGTATTATTTGACATTGTTTTGAAAATACTAGCCAATGCAGTTAGACAAAAGAAAGTAACTATATATGTGAAAATTCAAAACAATTCAGTGACATTTTCATTATTTACAGATGACATTAGGCCAAACACTAATACAAGCAATAACAGAATTCAGTATGAATTCTGGGAAAAAAATAATTTGTAGAAATTCAGTAGCCTTCCCGTATATAAATACCTAGGTAAGAGGTGATAGAAGACCTGTGTACACACAAAGGCTGAGCATTGTCCTTCCCAGCCAGTGTGCAGGCAGTGTGGGAACCCTACAGCAGGACTCTTCCAGGGAGACTCAGGACACTTCTGACGTGACTATGGTTCAAGGATGTCCATTGGCCTTGCCAAACAGTCTTAGAACTACACAGAAATCTAAGATTGCCTGCCTGCCTTCCCTTCCTCCCTTCCTCCCTCCCTCATATCCATCCTTGCTTCCTTCCTTCCTTCCTTCCTTCCTTCCTTCCTTCTTTCCTTCCTTCCTTCTTTCCTTCTTTCCTTCCTTCCTTCTTTTTCTTCTTCACAGAGTTGGATCTGCATTACAGTTATATGACTCCCAGACTTTTAAACCTTCCTCCTAATTTTTAAATATATATTTTTAAGTTTCTGAAGTTTACATACAGTTACATTCCCTTTTTTGGTGTCCAGTTCGGTGAGTTTTTATACATGTATAGATTCTATGAACTTCTACCACACATGGGATGCAGAACAATTCCAACTCCCCAAAGAACCCATTGCTATTTTCCTTCACAAGTGTTTCCCCCAATAAATTCTCCATAGATCTAATCAGACAGTGGTGTGTTTCTCAGAGGACCCAGACTAATATGTCGTGGAACTGGGTTTAATGTATGTGGCAAGTAAAACATCTTTGAGATAGGAGATCTCACTGTGTTTGTCTCCTGGTGACATGACTTTTTACATTTTAAGGAGCGTAATATTTGTGGAGCGTAGAGTGATTACAATGAGTTATAATCTTTCATTTTGGGGTCTTCACATCTTCACATCTGAAGCATCAGTTAAAGGTTGAACCCTAACAAGTAAAGCTGTCCAACAATGAAATCTATGGATGTTCTCATCCCAAGAGTGCATCATCTGGAATTGCATGAATTTGGTACCAGGAATGGTGCATAAGAACTTTCTACGTTTGAATGTGGATTGGACAAGTTGATCTCTAAGGACCAATCTCCCAGGAGGCTGCAGAGATTTTGTGATTCTAAAAGCCAGTCCATCTCCTCCTAGAGCTGAGTTTTGGAGTAGCTTTTTATCCCCATGAAATACTTGTCTTTGCTTTCATTTATTCATTTTATCTAGTGAACCCAATCATATATATATTTATTTTCATTTGATATGAAGCCCTTTTAAAATTACAGATAAGCAATGAATGCTAGATGCCACAAATAATTACTTTTGATCTCACGTTATGAAGATTACTGTGGCAGCCTTGCTGGTTTTTGTTACATTGGTGCACTCAGTCACACGCTTTATGAAGTTGTTGTGTCATGTGCTTTGACATACACATAACTCGTCCTGATAGGTTTCCCGGGTAACCAGAACAGTGCTTTTATGCTTTCAGCTGGATTTTCTTCAAGTGCACTTCTTTGGGTGAAAGATGGAATATTTATGTGATGGAATATTGGTCCAAATATTGTAGAAAATTAACTTTTTGGGTACCAGATGAACATAAAAAGTTATGGAAGGATAAAGGTAGCAGAAAACCTGTGCACACAACCTCTGAAATATATTTGTAGTAAAATCAGTCCCTGTATACAATGTGGAGAGATCTGAAAAGGATCTTTAGGGCACTCAGGTTTTGGGATTTAACTTCTTTGTCTTAAGAGAAAAGATTATCACACCGCTTTTCACCATTGGAGTAAACGTATCTATCCAGGGCAGTGAGTATCGCCATGGGTTTACAGGACAAGAAGTTTAAACATGATGAAAAAGTAAGACCCAAAGAAGAACAAGAAAGGGCAAAAATTATGCAGGGAGTACCATAACGTGCCACGTTACTGATGATTATTACACCTTTTATATTTTTCAGCCTTAACTACATGTTTTCATAATTTTAGTCTAAGGATTTTATGTGGCTGGAAAATCCAGATACTTCTAGAAATACCAGAAACAACTTATATTGACCCATATAAAGGACACACACATACACAAGAATGTATTAGGTTTTTTGATAGAAAATTGTAACCTGATTGGTCCATAATTCACATTTCCTTGACCTTTAAGGTAGCTCGCTAGTCATTAGCCTATTGTGCCCTTCCTCATTTCAAAAAGAATTGTTTTAGTTAATCAAAGCTATAATCTAAAAGGACATAGGAAATAATAGGTTAATGGAGCTGCTCTTTTCATATGATAAAAAAAATGTTGCTGGCATTAATGGTGCAAGGCAGCAAATATACCCCTTTGCATCCCAGTGAATTGCCAAATACCATGCTAGTTAATTTGAATATGAAACACACATTCTCAAAGTCTGCCTACCATTGATTTTCTACTCACTGGAAAAACTATAGGTTAAAAAAAATAGATTTGTTTAAAAAAAATTTTTTAATGTTTGTTTATTTTTGAGAGAGACACAGAGACAGAGCGCAACTGGGGGAGAAGCAGAGAGAGAGGGAGACACAGAATCTGAAGCAGGCTCCAGGCTCCGAACTGTCCGCATAGAGCACAACATAGAGCTCAAACCCACGAGATCATAACCTGAGCCGAAGTCAGATGCTCAGCTGACTGAGCCACTCGGGCGCCCCTTGTTTTTTTGTTTTTTTTTTTAAAATTTTTTTTTTATTAATAGTGTTAATGTGTCAAAAGGGAAGCCTTAAAGTATATCAATACTAGTTTAAAAAAATTAGATCATATTTACAGACTTTGAAGAGATGTAAGTTTAGGCCTTTTTGGATATTAGAACGATGCAGCTGGTAATATACATAAGACACCTACAGGCAGGAGTTTGGGGTCTTAATATAATTTGGTGACTCATTTGCTCTTATAAATCTGAAGTTGGCTAGATCAATAAAGAATTGACATATATATTTTTAAGTTTATTTATTTATTTTGAGAGGAGGGAGAGGCAGAGAGAGAGAGGGAGAGAGAGAATCCCAAGCAGGTTCCATGCTATCAGTGCAGAGCCTGATGCGGAGTTTGAACCCACAAACCATGAGATCATGGCCTGTGCAGAAATCAAAAGTCAATGCTCAACTGACTGAGACACTCAGATGCCCCCGATTATTTTTGAGTGTGGCTGACTGTTTAATCCTTCAAGTTACAACTTTACATTTTATTTCCAATAAGCCAAAAGATCAGTTTAATATTTATTTATTTTTGAGAGAGAGAGAGACAGAGTGTGATCAGGGGAGGGGCACAGAGAGAGGGAGACACAGAATCAGAAGCAGGCTCCAGGCTCTGTCTGAGCTGTCAGCATGGAGCCCGATGTGGGGCTCGAACTGACGAGATCATGACCTGAGCTGTAGTTGGACGTTTAACCAACTTAGCCACCCAGGAGCCCCATGTAAAGCTCAAAAAATCAGTTTAAATGTACAGTATCATCCCAGCCACCTTACCCGGGAGTACTAAATGCCATTTAATATTTTCTTGGTGATTCTCTGGCATCATTTTATGCATTTTAGTTATTGTGATGTGTAGCGTCAGGGAAGCCCTTACACATGGGGTGGGTGGTGGGCCTGACCCAGATGGCCCACACCTCATGCTCCCTGGCAGCTCGTGTGTGGTCTCCAGTGGCTTCTACAGCGTGCTGTAGTCGTGCTCACCCCTGGGGGACTGAGTGGCAGGAAGAGCAGAGAGAGAGGGAGAGAGGGAGAGAGAGAACCCCAAGCAGGCTCCGTGCTGGCAGTGCAGAGCCCAACACGGGGCTCAATCCCATGAACCCGAGATCATGACCTGAGCCAAAATCAAGAGTCGGACACTCCACTGACTGAGCCAGCTGGGCGCCCCACCTTCTGGGTCAGTGTTCGCATCATGCGTCCTTCAGCGTTGCCATCGTCTCTGTGGTCAGCGTGGCCCAGACCACTCAAATACTTCCCTTGTAGTCTCCCAGTTGGTTACTCAGGGGTCACAAATGTCTGTATCTGCTCGTTCCTCCTCTAGTCTCCCTGCGGAGCCCTCAGTGTGTCCCTGGGGTGTGCAGAGGGCAAGCGCTATCCCAGACTTTGCACCAGGACCCTTTGTGAAGGGTGTATTCCCAGGTCTTGGTGTGTTTTAATGAACAGATGCATGGCCCCTCCAGGCTTGAAGTTCTCCTTAATGTTTGACCTCAAGTAGAATCTCAGGCGCTGGCAACATTAGAAAGCACCTCATTGACATCATTGTCCCATCACTTTCAACACAAATAATTTTCCTTTTTCTTTAGGGAAACCTAATCTACAAGCTGAATCAGGGAGGTGATATTCAAGGGAAGAAAGATAATATTCAATCACAGGCCAATATAAATGCATTTAAGCCATGATGCATCAGTCCCTGGTATGTAGAGACAGTGGAAGGTGGTATGGGAAGAAGATCTAACAGTGAGTAAACAACCTATTCACCCTGTAGGATAATCTAGGAATCTGCACTCTAGTACACACACACACACACACACACACACACACACACACACACAAGCTCAGAAACCTGAGGCCAGTCTACGTAAAGGTTCTATAGTAAAGGGTATAGTAAGACAGCAGGGGATGACATAGGGAGGCTTATAAAAGGGGTGTAATTTAGAAATAGATTCCAAAAATTAGCCTCTTCACTGTTAGAAAAACTGTGATGGGAAGGTGTTTCCAGAGAAAACGCAGTGTGAACAAAGAAATCCTAGTGGAAGGAGGATATAAAGCATGGTCTGGACACAGTTCAGGTGGCTGGTGTTTGAGACCAAGGGAGAGGCTGTGGCCAAGAGAAGGGTGGTAAGAGTGGACATAGGAGGGAAAGGTATGTGGGAAACAGGGTGAGGAAGGAAACTGTGAAGGACTTTAGATCCCTAACAAAGGACTTCAAATGTCATCCTCAATGAACAGGGCTGCTGCAGATGCTGTTGAACAAGACAAGTGAGGTGTTAACATCTGCCTGGCAATTGCATAGCGACTTTGGTAAGCCAGTGTTTCTGGAAACATTCTATTGATATGCATATAGGATTATAGACGCAAAATGCCTGTGTAAATTCATGCATTAGTGTGTATATCACATGCTTGAAAGTCCTGGGAGGTAACATACTCATCAAAGACTTCATTCTGTAACTGCCTACAGGAGCATCCTGAGCAAGGACAGTTTGTTTGAAGCCTGAGTTTGTTTGAAGGCTGCCTGGTAGGTATTAGGTACATACCTACCTACTACATACTACTGGATATTGGTAGGACTTAAGGAAATACCATAGATCAGCATGATAGAAACAGTAAGGAGATAGATTGTGCTCCTAAATGAGTTTTCAGGAAATAAACATGAGATTTTTTTTCCTAGTTTATATTATTGCTTTGTTTTATTTTAATTTCTTTTTTTTTTTAATGTTTTTTTTTTAAATTTATTTCTGAGAGAGAGAGCAGGAGGTCAGAGAGAGGTAGACACAGAATCTGAAGCAGGCTCTAGGCTCTGAGCTGTCAGCACAGAGCCTGACGCAGGGCTCGAACCCACGAACTGTGAGATTATGACCTGAGCTGAAGTCAGACGCTTAACCAACTGAGCCACCCAGGCGCCATTTTAATTTTTCTGACCCTCTCGAAGAGTCCAGTACAATTTGCCTCTTTACCAATTGTTAGATTAGAGGTGGAATCACCACCTGTCTTTCACTCAGAGCTGTTGTGATTTCCGTCTCAGGTTAGAGACCAACATAGGTGAGGGACCCAGTTTTGGAACCGGTTACATTTGGACTTAATCCTTATCTCCTGCTTTTATTGCTATATAATCATGGCTATACTGGGGAGTCTCTGTATCTTCTATTTGCTTATGTATACAGTGAGAGTGACAAACCCGGGTTTGTGGCCTTCCTGTGAATAATGATTCAAAAGTAGTCTGCATGGGGCTCGTGCATGAATATAAAAATAGAATTGTAATCATCTTCATCATCGTCATTATCATGGCCAGGGTTATCATGTGTGCTAACTTTTCCTTGTTTGGGAGGCTTAGTGGCAGAGAATTTAAAGAGCTGCCTCTTGTAGTATGGGTATCGTTCTGACCCGTCACGTTTCCCTGTGCTGGGCTTTTCCATGTTGTACACTGTTTGCTCTTACAGTTAGCAAGCTGATCGTTTATTTCACCCACTTGTCTTGCTCGAGAAAGATATCCTGTTCATAACGTGCTTAATAAGATTTACTAACTGTCGTAGGAACTTATGAGTCTGCAGTCTTATTGTTTACCACCTTAGAGAAGCCTCGAGGCTAAGAATTTTACATGTACGTGGCTGTGAACTCGGCCCCTACAGAGAGCGATGACTTATACTTTCAGAGACTCGATGCAGGCAGACCTGTGCCTGCCCGTCCGCGAACACGCATGCCCACACACCGTTTTTATGTCTTCTTTTTGCATTTCTGGTCTTGTCCGCTAACCATGGATCTGCTGCTTGCTTGTTCCTGTCCTGCTTTGACCCCTCCCCTCTCCCTTATTTCCTCTTCCAATGTTACTTCTCCCATCCGCCTCAACCTTGGATCTACTAGGCTAGACTTTGAAGTTACAGCTCTGCTCTACTTGAATACTCTTGATCCATCACCCTAGAATCCAGTAACCCCTAGGTGCCTGTGCATTCAGTGAGCCCCTAGCAAACACTCATTGAATGAGTGCCTTAGACCATTTGACTGTGCATTCCCAGAGCCTTTTCTTTCTTTCTTTCTTTCTTTCTTTCTTTCTTTCTTTCTTTCTTTCTTTCTTTCTTTCTTTCTTTCTT